TTTTTAATTTGAATTAATTAAAAGTTTAAAAAAATTTTTTTTAAAATTGGAATTATTTAATTTTTCTTGCATAAATCAATTTTTTGATCATTTTATTTAAAAATGTTATAATAATATAATCAATAAATTAAATAATGATATCTATTAACTGTTTAGTATATATAATATGCAAACAATTTTTTGTACAATAATTTCATCATCTATTATTTTTTCTATCTTTAATAATTTTGAAGATATAACTACTGTGTCTACTGTTATATGATAATAAAAATTATAATTACATTTTATATATTATAAGAACAAAATTTTATTCTACTTAAAAATTATTTAAAATAGATTCTACAACAGAAGTAAAAGAAGAGGATACTTTAAATACAGAAGATTTAGTTGTTATTGGTAATACTAATCCACCTGATACAGTATATAGTAAGGCTAGTGAAGAAAATATAGAAGAATGGTCTTCTGAAAATAAAGATTGTAATATAGTTACGAAAACAGAAGGTATATTGGAAAAAAATAATTCAAATATATATCATTATTTGTTTGCATTAATTATACATACATCATAGGTGGAATTGAATTATCAGTGGAACAAATAAACAAGGCACAAAAAATTTATTAAATGGTCGGGAAGTGCTTTAAATTATGATGATGTGCCTACGGCTGTGTTAAATCTTCGAAAAGCTTTACATCTTTTAACTACTGGTCAAGAACTCACATAATCAAAATTAAGATTGAAAATATTGTTATTTCATTTAATAATAACAATTAATTAGTAAATTAATTTTTTTTGCTTGTGAATAATAATATGATTTAATTGATGCAGAAGTAAAAATGATAAAAATGATAAATTATTTATTTTAACTGTTTACATTATTACAGTTATGCTGAATTAAAGGTAATTTGAAATATATATTTAATTTGTAGATGTATAAAATCGACGTTAATATTTAAACCTATTATTATAATGATTAATGTGAAAGTTCACAAATATATATCAAAAATTTTAATAGTGCAAAATAAATCATATGTCATACATTAATGAACTCTGAATAAGATTCTGGTTCTGTTTTCAGATAAAAACAAAATAGTTAAAAATATAAATTTCAAAAAAATTGAAAATTATAATTAATTTTTCTTTTTCTATTCAAACGTGTAAACTTAGTTTTGTGTACACGTGCGCGCGCAATTATTAAATTGTTTTTAAAATGTTCTCTTATGTGATTGATCTTAATATTTTGCAACAAATACATTGCAATCATTATACATATGTATGTTAATTTTACATTTATTTTTTCGCTATTTTTATTTTTGCTTTACTTTATAGATATATTATTTTATTCCATCGATTACAAATTTAACATTTGAAAAATAAATATACAATTAATTAACGTTATATGGTAATAACGTTTTTTCTCCTATAATACAATGGAATATGTTATAACGAACATAGGAAAATACAATTTATATTTTTATTTGTACTTATGTTTTTTTTTGTATTAAACTTTTTCTATTTAAATCTATTTAATATATATATTGAACAATAACAAATAAATATGTACTTATAGTTCAAAATATGCTATAACAAACGAGATTCTAGAATTAATTAGTTCATTATAATATATTCCATTATATTAATAAAATGTTTTGAACTTTAAACTAAAAACAAACTAGTCTTTTTTGTAATTTTCGTTTCAATTGTAATAATATATTATGTATTTGTACGAATTTTAAATTTGTACATTTTTATTCGAATTTTAAATATACGCGTGTTTTCTTCTTTGAAAATAAAAAAAACAAGTAAAAATATAAATACAAAGAAAACACGCGTGTGCGCTATAATGCAATGTTTATACATAGAAACATTTAATCTCAATATGATATCAAGAAGAACACATTAATTCAAATGGCAGTTAATACCTTGTATTTGAGCTAATACTTTATGTTTCATTAATTAAATTATATTGTAGTAATATATAAATAATGATAAATATTTATATTTTTCGAAATTTTCAAGATTTCTAATTTCTTTAGATTTAAATTCAAATGCTATTATTGAAAAAGTAATTTGATATAAATTCTGAATAAAATTAACATATAAGTTTAAAGAATATATTTTACATGATTATCATAAGGAATCAAAAATCAAATGAGTAACTTATTTGTCGTGCATAATAAGGATTCCTTTAACGAACTATTACCTACATGATACGTTGCAGGTGATAATTAATATGATAACCAAATGAAGGTTTTAATCTCATGAATATGCATAAGAATTTCAAATTCAATCTTGTTTTTTGGTTTTATCATCTACACCATTTGCTGTTACTGGCTGTGTATCTTCTCGTCTAAGTTGCCAATCTATTACTAATCGGCCTGTTAGCATAAAAAAGAACACCTAAAAAGAATAAATCTATTTAAAGAAATTTTTTTGTTTAAAATATACTTTCTTTATAAATTTTAATTTAATCTTACCAATGCTGGTGCAATTCTTTCAAATTTATCATTTACCATATAATGTGAATATACAGCCATTAACATTAATAATAATAATACTGTATTTGATGCATTTTTTATTTTATCTGGAAAAAATAATAAAATAATTTTTAAAAAAAAATTATAATATTCTAATTTTAACGAAAAATACTTTCTTACGGTTTGGAACTATGGCCATTGCGAGTCCGCAAATAATTTCCAATGATCCAACAACTCTTCTATACCATTTACTTGGTACTTTAAAATCCAATGTACCAGATAATGGAAATACCTTTGCGTATTTCACGTATTCTTTTCTCTGGAAATATAATAGTATAATTCGCTAATAAATATTTGATGAAATAAAGAAAGAGACGGAGAGATAAACATATATATAAGATATTTATATGAAGAAAATTGTGATAACTTGATAAACATTATAAGTTGGCACTTGCAATATTTTTGGCGCTTTACCAATTGGTTAGTTGATAGTTTACTATAACTTTTAACATTAAGTAAGAGCAAGAACAAAAATAATCTTCTGACGAGATCCATCGAAATGAAGAAATTAAACTTTTTATAAATTTAGAAAAAATTTGAATTATGAAATCAATTTATCTTTTTTTTATGTTAAATAAAAATCTTATTTTTATAAAAATCTTGAGCAAACAAAAATTAATGATAATAATTTGATTGTTTTAATAAAATCTAAAATTTTATTTTTCAATTTTAAAAATTACCATAAATTTTATTATTTATATATTTTCAAATATTATATTATTTATTATTTTTGTTCATTTTTTTTTTATTAAATTTTTAATTCCTTTTTATAATTTTTATTATATATATTTTAAATTTTTTAAAATTATTTTCTAGGTAACAATATAAAAAAAAATAAGATACTTATAACTGCAAAAAAAAATTATGCATACAAACACGTGTATAATATATATCGATATATATTTTTATTTGATAAACAAAAATTGCAAAAATAAAAACAATTTTTTTGGATGTCTAAAGAAAAATATTTTTTATTGAAAAAATCATTACTTCTACAAAAAAATGATGAACAAGTATTAAGGAAAACAAAAAGATCAATTGTCAATTAAAACTGACAGATTGTCATAATAATGTATAGTTAATACATGATGCATATTATATACAAAGTTAACGCACACTACAGACAAAAGGTAAAATAAAAATGTTTTATGATCACTGAAGATAGACGTAGCAAAGGAAAATAATTTAAAAACAAAATAAAAATTTGTATTAGATGAAAATTTCAATTGAATATAAATTGTAAAATTAAAAATATGAATTATGTTACATAATTATAGAGCAAGTGCTCACCAAATCCTTGTGCAGATCTTTACTAATATGAGAAGTCAATTTCATAGTACCAACGAAAACGAAGAATATCCCAAGAAGAACTGAGAGAGATTTTAAAACGACTGAGCCCATAATTCGACAGTTGAAGACCGTTAGCAACACAAACGTATTAGACGTAGAGAAATCGATTCGGAAACTAGACTGGATGAATGACTCGTAGCCGTGAATTCGTTATGTATGACTTGTACAATCCCAAATAACTATCTTTTTTGTTTATTTTTTTTCTTTTTTTTTTATTTCTTAATTATACATATTTATTGGATATATATTATTATTAGAAATATATTTTTTTAAACGTTTCGAACAATTATTCAAATCGTACTTAGTACTAATTAGGTACTATCGTACACGATATAGTAATGCTCATACTTTTCTTTCTCTTTCGGTTTTACTCGGTCTATTCCGACTGCGACAGCGCATAACGTGTACAATATTAGTATCCTGCACGTCGTATCGTGTCGTGTCGTATTCCACTGCGTTGCACTAGCTTTTCCCTTATAATGTAATTATAATGAGCTTTCTAAAGACACGTCGTATAAGTATGAGTGTACTATAATTGTAACTAACATTTTTTATGCAATTTCAATATCTATTATTTATATATTGTTTCTAATTATATATGAACAATATACTAAGATGAATTAAAATAATTAAATGATCTGTATTTTTTTATTAAAGGAAATATAAAATATAAAATTTTCAATCAATTTTTCATATGATACAGTTTTAAAAATGATTAATTCCATAAATTCAATAAATTTGTAATATGCGAATTAGAAAACAAATTTAAAAAAATTAAAAACTGTAAATCTATTTTTCTGGCCATATTCTTAATAACACTATTAAAAAATATTGATTCATTATATATATAGTCAAAATAAAACATTCATTTAAAAATAACTTAAAAATTTGTTATTGTATATATTATGTTGTTTATGTTATTTGTTATTTTATCTACATTATATTATTTTATTAATACATACAAAAGTTTATATACAGTTTTCCGTAATAATGTTAATAATATAACATCATTAAATTCAAAATTGCATCATTATATATATTTTATGTATTGATGCTTTGCAAATGCAATTATTATTATAGTATTATTATTAGTAGTAGTAGTAATAGTAGTAGTATTAGTATTAGTAGTAATAATAGTAGTAGTAGTAGTAGTAGTATTAGTAGTAGTAGTAGTAATAGTAGTAGTAGTAGTAGTAATAGTAGTAGTAGTAGTAGTATTATTACTGTTATTACTATTATTATTATTTAGTATGTTATATTGATATAATTTTTTTATTATCATTATCATCATCATCATTATCATTATCATTATCATTATCATTATCATTATCATCATCATCATCATCATCATTATTATTATTGTTGTTGTTGTTATTATTAACCTCTATCATTATAATTTCTGTCCATATTTTACTATCAATCAATTTGTATTAGTCATGTCATGTTTATTTGTTTATGTTGTTTAATTTCTGTACTTGGCAAATTGACATTTATATTATATTTATTGTTTATGAGAACAGTCATATTTGCATTGCTGTTTGCCAAACATACAGGTTTCTTGCGTCGTGCAAACACAATTATTTTTCCATGAATATTCATTGATGTAACTCTTGTGTTTTTATTATTGTTTACAATTTTTTGTAGTGGTTTTCTAAATTCTTTTAACTCTACTTCTTCTGTTTTTGCTATATATTTAACACATTCTTTTTCTTCCGTTACTTCTGTTATCACATCTATTGTATTTTCATATTCGGTTTTCATTGTTGTTTTAACATTTTCAGAATTGTTTTGATTAGTTTTGTACTTATCATAATCATTACAATAATTATTGCAATTGTTTCTAATGTCATTCTCATTAACAGTAGTTATATTAATATGATTATTTTTTCCCTCATCCGCTTCTTTAGATGGCTTAAGAACAGTAGAATGAGAGCAAAAATTTTGAAAAACATTATTTTTTACAGTATTTTCCAATGAATGATCTATTGTTTTCACCTGATTTAATGCCTGTTTCTTTGAATTGTTAGAGAAATAATTATCTTTCAATTCTGTAGAATTTAACTCAATTGATTTATTATTTTGTAATAAATTTCTTACATCTTTTGAAGATATTTTTTCTGTTTGTATTTCAATTATTTCTTTGGGTGATTTAAAAAAAATGGTAGAGTGAGTACAAGAATTTTGAAGAACATTATCTTTTATAGTATTTTTTAATGAATGATCTATCATTTCTATTTGATTCAATGCCTGTTGTTTTACATTATTAGAAAGACAATTATTTTCCATTAATTTAATAAAATTTAATTCAATATCTTTATTATCTTGTAATATATTTTTTATATCTTTTGAAGGTATCATTTTTCTTATTTGTGTTTCAATATTTTTATTTTTGATAAAATTATTTTCAGAAATATGTAAGACAGATGTATTTGGTAACTTTTCATTAGATATTAAAAGTTCCTTATTTGTTTGATTTTTATCAAACAAAAGAATTTCATTAACATTTGTGACTGACATATCTTCTTTACAATTACGAAAATCATTTAAAATATTAATACTTTCTTTCTTTTCTATCGAATTTGATTGTGAATCATTTAATGCATGAATAGCATTTGATGTAGATATTTTATTACATGATAAAGAAGAATCAGAAATGAATTTTTCAATATTTTCTGTGTTTTCAACGTTTTTATTTCGATATTTTATATTATTATATTGATTTTTATTAGATTTCTCTTCTCGATCTATTCGATTCGATTTTATATATGCTATTGATTTTACACGCGATCGATGGTTGTCAATACGATGATATCCTCTTTGTCTATCTCTACGATGATGTTCACTATGACTAGATCGATAATTATCTCTTTCAAAAATTTCAATACAACGATAACCTATATTTTTCTCATCTAAAGTAAATGTTGAATTTTGAGTAGATTTTATATGCTGTTTTGTAGAATGTTCATTAGCATCTCTTTTTTCATTTCTTTTTTTATTCTTTCTTTCATTGTCTTTATTTATATTATCAATCAAATTTCCATGTTTTTTCAATTCTATCCTTGAATTATGAGTATATCCTACAGCAACATTTTTTACACTATGTTGTTTTTCATTAAAATGAGTAGAAGATTCAAAATTGGTATACCGAGGAAATGTATATTTTTCCTTGGATTCAGAAACTATGTTATTTGTTTCTTTTTTTTTGTTTTTTCTCATTGTTTCAAAACAATATCTTTCTCTAGTAGATTTTAGTCGTTTTATAGGAATATCTTTGTTTATTTCTTCATTTGTTCTTTTTCGCGTTGATATATGTATTGTTTTTTGCAAAAGTCTAGAACTATCATCTTTATCATTTAAATCAATATTTTTTATTGTATTTTTTGAAATTGTTGAAGATTTTGTTCTATGTTCAATTTCTTTATCGTGAACAATTGAAGATTCAGTTTCTTTTGTAATGCAAGAATTAGTATCATTTAAAAAACCATTTTCTTTATTATTTTTAACTATGTAGCTTTTATTATTTTTATATTCATTATTACTATTATTTAATTTATTTGATTGCTTGTCTTTTTTTTCTAAATTCTGTTCATCTGTCATTCTTTTAACTAATCGCTCACCAAAAACAGTGATAGGAATTAAGGCAGATTTGTTGCATTGATCTTTGGTTTTACATAAAGAATCTGCTACCAATGTTTCAATATCTTTTTCATTTGGAGGAAAATAAATATCAGTTGATTTATGATGTGTATTTACAATAGTTTCTTGAAAAGTGGATTTATGAATAATAAAATCATTAGTTTTAGGATATTTGTCTCTTTTGAATGTTGCATCATCTAATCTGTAATAAATATATCAGAATTTAGTAAATATTTTTAAAATTATCAATATTTCCATTTACTTACTTTTTTCTTAACTGATCTATCATTTTATCTTTTCGTGCAATTTCTGCTTTTGCAGTTTTTAATAATGAAAATAAATTAATTTCCAAATTTTTATTAATTTTTTGAAAATTCTCCAATCTTGTTTTTAGTTCTGTAATTTGTTTTTTTAATTCTAGACGTTCTTCCACAATATTTTCTTCATTATTTATCACAAACTGAAGTTTTTAAATAAATTATGTATAATCTATACTTAACCTAATCATAAATATTATATTTTATAATACTTACGTTTTCATTGAACTCTGTTCTAAAATTTGGTAAATCTTCATAAATATCGATGTCATCCTCCATGCTTTTTATTAATTTCTATAATAAAATTATAATTATGAAAATACATATTTTACTATTGATATGATTTTTCCATTTTACCAACCACGAATATGTCATATATTTATGTATTTAATATAATACTTACTCAAGGACACATATTACTATCTTTATATTTATTGACCATCATGAAGTATGTTAGCAAATAGTAACTAATATCAATTTAATAAATACTTATTTTTCGTTAAAATTTCAATAATTTCGAAACATAAATTAAGATGAACCAATGAAATGTATAATAACCGTCATTACGTTTAGCTATATTTTTTCTAATATAATTTGATCGTAAATTAAATTTGATAAATATTTCTATTAATTATTATAATATTATTAATATTAATACGATTTTATATTATTATTAATTTTTAAATAATAACAGTTTTAAATAATAATCAGAATAAAATTATAATTTTGTAAAATATATTCTAAATATTTTTAAAAGTTATTTCTTGCATAAAAATTTTTTTTTTAATATTTTTATATTAAATTTTAATTTTATTTAAAATATATATATATATATATATATATATAT